TCTTCTATGCATGAACCTGGACGCTCTAGACGCTTTATTGTACCCACGCGATCCATTCCTTCCTGATACAGTAGCAGCATACAGATGCCATTCATGTCCATTTCCGCTTCCCCAGCTTGGCGATACCTCATCGACCGCGGGAATGCACAGACAGTCATCGTAACCGTCCTCCCAGTTCCGTCTGTCCCAGCGAAACGCTAGCCGCAAGAGCGTAGCCTTGGGTGGAGTAGCCCCGACTGGCGCTGCAGACCAGAGCACAAGCCCCCCTTGGAGTTGAGTCGCGGGCTCTCCCTGAAGCTCGACCCATCCCACTGTTTGATTGGCGCATCAGCCACCACGGGCCAGAACCAAACACTCCAGTTCTTTCGCTTCGCGCGCAAACTCACATTAAGTCTGACTCGCCATCCGTTGCGGGATCACTGGGATGTCTTGTGCGCACCTCACCTCACGTAAGAAACTGCCGTTCAGGCGTGCCGGCGAATTTCCCCCGTTGCCCCCTCGCGCGCTCAGGCGCTGACTCGTGGCGCAGCGAAACCGCCCCCTCACAGTCAGCAGTGGAGCGAATTGAGGGACCTGGAATTGAACCCCCTGCCGTGATCACAGGATAAGCCGCGTCTGCAAGACTACGCTTCTCATCACAACCGTGGCAATGACAGCTGTCAAAAGACAGGGCCTACTATGCAGCCAGGTCGGAACAGGCAAGAGACGGGTCGCGGTTACATTGGGCCGAACGGCGGTCATTCTCGTAAAGTGGATCAAGCGCGGAAGGATCCTTCTTCGTTGTCATCACGATATATTGTCTATATGTGACACTCGGTATAGCTCCCAAGATTGCATCGCAGTACGTCGTCTGCAAGCGCGGTGCCTCGCTTGCGGCTGATAAAGGCAATATGCGCCGCCAACAAACCAAGCAGGGTCGAGAAATACTTGTCATTAACGGGGATACGAAGCCAATCGGAACTGGCGGCAGCGAAGCATTTCTTCGCAAGTTGGCAGGTACTCCACACTCGAGCATGTGGGCGATTGAACTTGAAAGCACGTGCACCCGATATCGTGAGCTTGTGAGACAGCATACCAACAGCAACAATGCTGCAATTACCTCATTTCGATGTGCAGGACGCAATTGGTCGGGTCGTACCTTCCAGCCAGCCAATGCTCCATATAAACGGCCAGCCAGACGGCTGCGGAGATAAAGAAAGCTTAGGCCCGACGGCAGTACCCACTCTCCAAACACATTCATCCATCCCGTGCACACATCCACATCGGCTGTGAAACCCATCATCTTCAGCCGCCACCATCCGCCATGCCATTCCAGCGACTGTGCCACAAAGGAGATGCGCTCACAGGATCCTCGCCAGACGGATGACCGCGCATACCACACAAGACGTAGGTTCGATCAAAATGCGGTAGTAGGACCCGAATCCAAGAGAAGATCCCATCATGATATAGGAACCTCGCAGACGATTATACATCCTAGATGCTCCCGCGCGTCCATTATGCAAGGGGCCTTCTCCAAACAGCACATTCTGCGACGGACGGCAAAGATTTGATTTACCGACACCGATATAGCAACTGTAGGATGGGCGACTACAGTATAGGGTACCATCGGTACCACCCACCCACGATATACCGGTGTAGGAATAGGTAGCGCGCGCCGAACCAGCGGATCCCAACGCTCCCTCGCCCCCCGATGGTTCGGAGAGAGCAGCACAAACTAGGCAAAGTGCGAAGTTTGCTTCTTGGCTGTGAATGGCTGGACTACGAGGCCGAAAGATGACATTTGTATCACATTGCGCAACCACGCGGCGCCAGCAGCTGCCAGGGCAAGGTAGCAGAGGCAGATTTGAAGATCGATCCAGCCCCTGCGTTTTCTCTTGTCTCGGTGTTGGTGTTGGCTCGAGACACCCTGCATGTTTACCCATACACATATCACACAGATCGTTGCACGATGCTCATCTTGGTCTTGCACCTTGCGGACCCAGGCTGCAGGTTTGCTTTTTCCTTGCTCCTGGCTCTGACAATCATGCAGGTGCATGTCCGTTACCCGCTTTTGTGGTCCTTGCTTCTCATCCTTTTCTACTCACCTCCGACCGATGTTACAACTCGTACTTTCGCTCTCGACGGAGAGAGGCGCGGTACTGGATTCCGTGGTGTCACACACACACACACACACACATACGCACGCACATATCAGGGAGAGGAGTATGGTACACAGACCAAGCGGAAGTCGAGTGGTAATAATGCATGGAAGTATAGATCCATGTATGCAACATACGCCGCACGCCATGTTGTATGTATATCCAGTATCTTGTATTCGGTTCGGGCGGGAAAATCCCACAGCAGATAGATCGATCAGATGATCGGGAGGGTGACGAGATCTCAATCTCGTTTTTTTTTCGCTATTCTCGCAAATCACCTGGGATATCGTACCATAGGAGTACTCCGGAGTAGTAAACACACCACCACCACCACCCACCAGCACTAAGATCCTGACCCCCCCTCTTTCGTTCGTTTTCGCCATCCACCATCCACCGACTATCACCATCCACACACCCCCGCTTTCAGACCCCTCACGCTAGCCCTTCAGCCTCCAGCTCCCTCCTCCTTACCCTGGCTTTCACATGGCCATAGACAACGATGATCGATGATGAGCATTAGCCTAACAAAAGGCCAAAGTTAAAATTGCCCATGTCATATCACTAGAATCCCTAGGCAAACAAAACGCCACCTTTACCTAGGCACATACGCCACGCCAAAAACCCCAGCCCGTCGCCTCGCGCCCTCTTACCGTGCATCACCAAACCCCAATCTCGTCTAACTAATCATCCTGCATGCAGTCAGCCAGCTAGGTGGCGTTCCCCAAATCCTGCATCTGCATCTGCATCCTGATCCCCCAAATCCCTTGTTTCTTTAGCTCCTAACGCCGAAACTCTAAATACGCCGTCTTTGATTACCATCGGGAAAGTGGGAAAGTGCAGGAATGCCATGTTTTTTGTTTGCTCTTTTTGCGCAGGTGGCTTTCGGTACACCTCCCTTGCTTGCTTACTCTTTGCTTCTTTTTCCATCCCCTTTTTTGACGACTTTTAACCTTTTACTTGTCCCGTCCCGTTGGCGTGGGCCACACACGTATGGACTATGGAGGCTGTCTCTCTTCGCTTAGCAGGGATGGTTGAGCGTTGAGAAGATGGCGTGTGTGTGTGTAGGGTGTGTTTGTTTGTTGTACAAATGACGATGAATCAATAAACTATATCACCACCACCTATCTCACTCACATTACCACCATCATCATCGCAGTTATTTTTATTTCTGATACCGAAGCACGCGTAGCAAGGGATGAACAGCAGCGCCAGCGCTGATACCACTACGCGGTACCGTGGACCAAGGACGTTGGTCCTCGTGCTTTCGGCACTTTTTGCCGCTGCCCGGATTGGCGGAATGACGTTCTTGGGGGAAGTGCAGGTGGCGATTCAGTGTCCTCTCGCGGGTTTTCGTGGATCGCCCATGTAGTGTAAGGGTGTGCAATTTGCAATTGCCCATCTCGCCTCGCCTCTACTCTCTCTCCCTCGCTTCTCGCTTATCTTAAGGTTTGACGTTCCTAACCTCCCATCCTTCGTGGCTTGGACACAGCGGTTACGAAGAGGCGTTGATGGACGTTTGTGCGCTGCGACTCGCGCGCATGCGTGCGTACGCGTGTGTATGTGCGCAACGTTAAAGCCACAACATAGCCTGCCTCCCCCGTTTTTGTGTCTGGGACAAGTTGGCATAAAGTATCCATGCTGAAAGCTTATTACATTCGCGGTTGTCTCCTCCACATTCCGATGATGATAACCACCTCCTGTTGCCGAGGACTTGCGCTTGATTCATGGTTTCATACACCGCAAACTGCGACGACGATTCATGGCATATGCGAGACCGAGGTATGACGGAGGTACAGTAGTAGGTCCGATTAGGGAAGTCGTTGCGAAACCAAGGAGGTGGTTCGTTGCCTTTCTTCGTGGTGTGATGTTGTATGTAGGGTCGTTCTTGTTGTGAATCACGTGAAAATCCTGTCGTGAGGCATGCGTCCACAAGGTAAGCGGCGGTCGAGATACCTCTACTCGCTGTATCCCCCTCCATCATTTATACATACCCATGCCCTCATCCCACCATGCAGAATACTCCACATCACCCCCAACCCAAGAAGAGCATCAAAGCCGATGCGAAGACATGTCCAGTCGTCATGAAAGCTCCGTCCTCCATGGTGTGATTTAAACGTACTCCGTGCGACACGAACCGAGAAGGGACGAGGCGAGGAGAAATAGTGGCGGCTCGCGTACGGGAAATGGGATGAATGGGTGAAGGGGGTTAAGCGGGTAAAAGAAAAGGATGAGCCGCTTTTACCGCGGAGGGGTGTGCATTAGTTTGATGGCGGTGAAAAGAACAAAATTGTTATGTTCAGCTGCTCATGTATGAATGTGGTTTTGTTCTTTTGTGCATGGATTTGGTGGTGAGTGGTACGAGACACCACTTCACTGGGTAATCCGAGACTTCGTGGGATGTGACCATGGCGCCGGTTATTCGTTGTCTGTCATGAATAGTATGGGCTGGTGCTATAAGTCTCGATGTACTGCTTCGGGGTCTGTTGGGAGTGATGTAGGGTACTGGTCTTTCGTGTTGCTGTTGCATGGCTTATGGGCGTTGGCCGGAAGTCTTGGATCATGGATAAGAGACAGCTGTAAGAGATGGATGTGGTGACAACTTCGATACACGGCGGAGTAGCGGCGATATCTCCCGTAGAGATCATGTCTGCACATTTAGCGGAGCAGCGAGCGGTAGGCATGAAGGTCATTGCTGAGACTCACTTCTCAGGCTCCAAGTTAGTCGTCATACTGCCCGCGAACATCACATCCAAACACTCCATGCGTTAACCTCGAATGCTTTAACTCAACATAACTCGCAGTCCATTCCGCTATACTCTATTTCTAACATTATCACAATCTACCCCTTCCCTCCCTTCTACATCATTTCTTCCCCCTAAAATCCGCACCCATCTTCCTAAACAGCGTCCCAAAACTGCCCCTCGTCTCCCAAATCGGCAGCAAACAACTAATCGCGCTACTAGCAAACACCCAAATAAAGCTCACCACCACCCATGCCGTAAAGAAGCCCTTGGAAAAGATGTAGTGCGAGAAGAACATGGGCATCGGAAGAAGGAAGTCGAGGATGAAGGTTAGGAGGAAGGCGGAGATGCAGGCTAGTTTGAAAGCGCGGCGGAGTGTAGATGGGTCGTCGGGCTCTTCTTGTGTCGGGGCGAGATGAGGTGGGAGTTCGGATGCTGCTACGACTGCTTCGGGTTGTGTTGGAGCGTCTGTTGCAATTTTCTTCTCGCCAGAGTCAGAGAGTTCGGGCGTTGAGCTTTCTCTGGGGGTGTTGTCGTCGTTTATGCCATCCAGCTCGACGGCGTTGATGGCGCGGGTGATTTCCCAGTCGAAGTTGTCGGGTTTGATCAGGGTGATTGTTGTTGTTACGATGAGGCCGGTCATAATGGCTGCTAGGTTACCGGCGAGTGTGGGATACGACATGCCGGTCGTTTCTACCGTGATCTCGCCATAGTAACTCTTCGCCGTACTGAGCCACGCCGTGAGACCTGCGGCAAGGCCAGACAGACAACCTGATATAGCGGCGACTTTAGTTTGCTTTCGCCATAGTATGGAAAACGCTGTGGGGAAGACAGCGCCGCCGATGAGCAGACCCATGACGCTACAGATAATCAGTAGGTAACAACGCAAAGATTGGGTAGGACTCACAGGAACAACCATCCCAGGTCGATCGAAGCCGCGTTCCAAATACACGCAAATACGGACATGGTCAATCCGAAGACGCAAATCATGATGTGCGAAACAAACACCAGCTGCTTTGGTGTCGCCTTAGGCGATATGTAGGCCTTGTAAACATCAAAGGTCAGTAGCGAGGAGACAGCGATGAGTTCCGCAGATGCACAGGACGTGACTGCCATGAAGAGAACCACAAGTAGCGCAACGGCACCTCCTTGGCCCATCAATGTCTCCGCAGCAAAGGCAGCTGCCAGACCAGACGATATCTGTCCAGAAGTAGGTACCTCGGGGTATGTCGGAAATCGAGGGTTATCGGTCAGTGCCACAGCCGCCAGACCAAGCGTTGTCGAAAAGCCAAATGGAATAGCGAACCAAGCGATTCCTCCCAGTAGATACGCGCGTACGGCAGTCGAAGGTTTCGAAGCGATTGCGCGCTGCCAGTAGGCCTGGTCGAGAAAGACAGTTCCAGATCCAGAGCACAACTGAATAACACCAAAGATCAAACCAAAGTTTGACTTCAAGGTCACGTATGAACCGTCCTCGTTTCCTGCGACTGGGCGCTGAGCCCCAGCTTTCTTGAGCAACTCGTACATCTCGCCGGGTGAGCCGATCAGCGGACTGACGGCGTACGCGTTGAACATGAAGTAAAGGATAATGATCATCAGGATCAAAGTGTGGCTATAATCGCAGATGAAAGTCGCTCGCAGACCACCGAGGATGACATAGGCACACACACCTACTATTGTCAGTATACCACCGCTCATCATTTTCCCTTCTTACTTACCAACTGGAATCAAGAAGACGGCAGCATACACCGGCATACCCGTCAAGCTCGTGACAACCGCACTTCCACCCAGCAAAAGCTGGCTGCCAACCAGAATATTCGTCACCATCGCAAACACCATAAACACCAGATGCGCAAACGTGCCATATCGCGCTTTGATAATCTCAAGGTACGTGTGACACCTCGGTGCGTTCTGCTTGACTTTGCATGCCAGGATCGAGAACATGAGGATCTGTACCGTAGCACCGGCGGCGTACCAGAACGGCCCTGCGACGCCATATTGATAGGCGACTGTGGAGGATTGGAGGAGCGTGGCTGCCCATGTCCATGCTGAGACGATGCCGGAGGCGATTAGACCGGGTTTGACGGAGCGGGAAGCTGTGTTGAACTCCTCGGATGACTGGGTCGAGTAGCGTGTGTATCGGTTTTGGAGGTATGAGATTCCCATCATAAGGAAGGCGAAGAAGAAACCGATGCCGACGACGACGCCTAGATGATTTAGCTATGAGGATTGATTAGGAGTGAAGGATGAACGTACCATAACCGGCTCCCACTGGGAGAGGTACTTTCGCTGTCTCTGACATGGTGAGATCCAACAGACTCGTCAAAAGTTGAAAGTTCTCAGACCCGTCCTTTGCGAGAAGGTCAGTCGGTTATATCAGCATATGTTATGAAGACTCCGACTACGGCTCCTACTCCAATTACCGAGCAGGGTAAGTCGAGATACTACTGTGATCCTCAAGGAGTAGTTCGCCGTCGCGGGCCCACGGCGTTTCCGCGGCGATTGCACGACGCGATAGGGAGAGTCCATTGGTGTGATAGGCAAAAGTCGTTACACGGGATGGTAAGTGCAGCGACGATCTGACGGTATGACATGGGCGCCTCGTGCGATAAGCTAGGGTTGATGAATCTCCACATGTACTCATGCATGATCGATGGGTTGCGCGTACGTTTAAGCGTAGTTGCGCCTGCTCGTAGGGTACGTTTGGTACTATAGCCCTACCTCACCACTAGTTGTCCTCGAGTTCAGATAAGAGATATACTAGTAGTAGGCCAGCCGCTGACAGAGGCTTGTTGCTAAGGCCGTGATGTCATGTTCAAGGTAAGGACGCAGCTGCCGAAAACGGCTCGTTGAACGGTTGATAAACCCCCTGCTCGGTTAGCAATCTACCCCGCGAACGACAATCAACCGGGGTGAAGATTTGGAGATAATCGACGGCTCCAATTGGAGTTGTGATAAGTGAAATTGGAGATCGCAGGGTGTCATGGTTGATAAAGTTAAACGGGCTCGTTGATATAGGGAGGCCACCGTGTCTGAGACCAAATCCGGGGAGCTTTGACGATCCCAGTGGGAGCATACTATCTTACTACCGAGCCGTCTTATTAAACTTTCAGACCCCAGGTTGTTGGGAAGCGGCAGCGGGTGATATAGTGAATCAGTCGTCTGGGTGCTGTAAGGAACGACGCGACCTAGTCCTGTTATCCGTACTACTACAATCAGTACACCGGTGTCCTTCGCGCACTGTGGGTAAAGATCTGCCGACGCAATATGCGTTTTTACCCTCCGAATAGAGACATGCCAACTCTCTGTATATATGCGACGACCACCGTCTTTTCGTTCCAGAAACGCCGCGCAATGCCACTAGCATTCGAGTTATGTACCATCTTCTTCCCTTCAGGTCTTCGCCCCAGCAGTCCGGATCTGGAACGTAGCTCCAGGCAGTGCAGCGCTTTCCGCTGTGACGGTCGCTTGTATGCCCAAACTTGCAAGGCATCCTCTGATCAGACCGGCTGGGAAGTATAGAAACGGCTGAACCCTGGCCTGGCTATTTGCGTCCCGACCGAGCGCTACATCGCCTGTTTGTGCTACCAGCGCTGCTTGCATAGCGGCGTCATATTTCTTCGTATCGAATGACATGCGGCCGAGAGGTTTGAACGTGTTGTCTGTAAGGACGTAGATGCCGCGGTGGTTGGTCTTGAGGTTGTCGATCTGCTTTCTAAAAAGGAGTGTCCATAGGTCTTTGCATAGAAACTTTATGCAGTCGAGAGGCGTGGTGGGTCGGGGCGCGTCTCGGGAGAATCTGTGTCAAATGTTAGCCATGGTCTTTGGGGTTCTACCATGCGTCGAGAGTAGACGTACCGTTCGACAACGCCCAGTCCAACTCTATACCCGAGATTCTCTAATCGATGGAATACAGCCTCTCGTGCTTCTTCCTCGTCGACCGTCGCAGTGCCTCCTCCGCCTACTGGCCCGCCTTCTGTCCCTCTTGCTGTGCCCGCCGCTGTACTTGACGCGTCATTGCTTGCGCCCGATAGTCGCTTTGGCTTTGTGGCTGATGACCCGTGTATCCACTCCTCTTCCCGGGCGGCGAGATCGGCTGTTATGCGATATGCCATGGGTACAAGCTCTATGAGCAGGAGATCAAGACATGATGTGTTCACTAACGAGAACGTGGGGTCGACGTAGGATGTGGTGGGTTCGTTCGGTGCGGATGGGTTGGCTTGCGCCATATTGGGCGAAGGTTTAGGGTATCTGCGTCCTCAGTCGTGCTACAGGCGATGATAGTGGTTGTGAGATTGTGCGCGACGAAGATGCGCGCGCCGATGTGGTGTGCGGGTGTTTGCGTCTACAGTAGCTTGAATCTTATCTTCGTCTGCTGCTCAGTACAGGGTCGGGTATTTACAGTAGTAGGTGTCGGTGTGGTGTGGTGTTTATCGCGGTGTGTTGGTGGTGGTGTTGATGTTCGAGTCCAGATGTGGGCTGCTGGAGCCGCGGCCGATCATTCCTCTGCAAGGGTCCACGAGCGCTGTGACTTCTGAACAACACTACAGCTGGTCCCGGGCCAGATTTATATCAATTCGGCAGCTGAAATGTTGTTATGTCGGGGATATACAGACACGACACATATTTCGATGCAACTTAATGCATACGAAAGTGATGATGGCAACAACGCAGGTCACTTGGAATGGGTCATGGTATTGTATCGTGCGAACATTGATATTTTAGCTCAGATCGGCATAGATTCATGCACATCCCAAGGCATGTATTCGTAGTATCATCTCTCATGCTCAACATGACGGCTCATGGTCTATCTACAGACAGGCGCATGTGAGTTTGTGTAGGAGCTGTACCGACATCCGGGTACACTCACTTAGCGGGAGGGTTGGCGACGAACTCAACGCCCTTGCTGATGTTGCCCTTCAGGCCGTCGTAGCAGGCCTGGAGAAGTTTCTTCTCTTGGTCGTTGGCGCTGCTGACAACGTCGATGGCCTTCTCGGCACCGTTGGGGCCAAGCTCGATGGGCACGGAGAAGAATTCAAGACCGGTGGCCTTGGAGATGGCATCTCCGCCCTCAACACCAGGTAGGTAGACGTAGCTGGGCTCTACGATGCCCTTCTCGCCCTTGGAGGCCTTGATGACCTTCTCGGCGAAGCTGTTCGCAGTTAGCTAGCGCACTTTAGTGGAAAGTATACAACATACCGGTATCCGGCGTAGGCCATGGAAAGAGTAGCGGATCCGGCGCCCTCCTTTGCCTGAACAACCTCGTCACCACCGAATTGGACGCGCTTGATAAGAGCCTCCATCTTGTCGGCCGGGATGGTTACGCTCGGCTTTGACTGGCTGAACAGAGGTACGATAGTCTCGCCGGAGTGGCCGCCAATGACGGGGATGTTTAGGTTGCCGGGGTTCTTCTCGCCGGTGATCTCAGCAACAAAGGTCTCAGCGCGGACGACATCAAGGGTGGTGACACCGAAGAGCCTCTTGGGGTCGAAGACGCCTGCCTTCTTGAGGACCTCGGCGGCGATGGGAACGGTCGAGTTGACGGGGTTGGAGATGACAAGTACGAACGCCTTGGGGCAGTACTTGGCAACACCCTCGATGAGGCCCTGAACGATACCGGCGTTGATCTTGAAGAGATCATCACGGGTCATACCCGGCTTGCCTAAGCATTTGTTAGATTGTGGTGCCACAATAACAGTATGAGTTCGACTTACGGGGAATACCAGCAGGGATGACAACGACATCAGCGCCGGTGAGGGCCTTTTGCATACCGTCCTCCTTTGGCAGGAAACCTGTGACAGCCTGTCCACCTTCAGTATCTCCATGCATATGCGGGGCTAGGGTTAGCTCATACTGCTGGGGTCGAGATGTGCGAGAGATCGGCAGCGACACCTGGTGTGTTGACGACATCGTAGAGGGCGAGCTCAGTGACGTGTTGGCAGGACTTGAGGAGCAGAGAGAGGGGCTGTCGAGGTCATGTCAGTCAATTTCGGATGCAACGTAGAGGGACAAGTCCCTGAGGTACTCTCGAGCTCGTACCTGTCCAATGCCTCCTGCGGCTCCGGCTACTACGGCTTTGACCATTGTGATGTGAGTTTGTAAAAGGGAGACGCGTTGAAAAGTGGTAGTTGAGAAGAGAGATTGAGAGAAGAGTTGAAGAGTCGGTGAGAGAAAAGAAGGCAGGAGGAGGTGGCTTGAAGTAAAGTAGGGTAGGAGCTGCACCACGCGCCCGTTCTGTTGGATCCAGGAAGGTGGGGTGGAGCACGGACCTGGCGGGGTACCGGCGGGAGTATGTCTGGGAAACGCTTCAAGCTAATGGCTGTCTAATGCCCCCGGCACAGTCTGGCTAGCTTTGTGACAATGTTAGTTTCGTGAGTGCTTGTTGAGAGTCTTGGTAGTGGACTCCAGGCTGTTCCATATACCAAGTGGATAGCTTGTATAATGTGCTTCAGAGAAAAGATGCATTCTCATGCTATCGCTGCGTTAGCCAAGCATGTGCAGCGAGCCTCGGTGCCATGAGCAGTCGGAGCAGGTCGGATGCCCACTAGTTGTGACGCAGGTACGGATCCATAGACTGGAGAAGATGTTTCTTAGCCCGCGTACGGTAACTAGTACTTCGGCCGCTGACAAAGTGTCTAGAGCACTCTTGTCAGTTTTGAGGGATAATTGGCAAGGCTGTCTGATCATCGACAGCAGTCCACCTAATAGGCTTCCCAGACCCCTGGATTGTCTCGGTACCACCTTTTTTTGTGAAGATCTCCAGGAATTGATGCGATGTGGACCTTGGACCCTGACTGATCTTCGTCATATTCAGCCAGTTTAGTTGCCGGAGCGGATCGGGATGCTGCCAACGTTGTTTCCGCTCCGCGCTCAAGCGGCCCAAGCACACCTCATTGCACTGTTGATGGGCAAACATGGTGGTGGTGCAAGCTGTTACTCTATCAATGGATATCTGCTCATAAGGCTGCCACAAGCTAACCGATCCGCATCCGCGGCCGTGCCCAAGAAATCCCCAAACTCCCTCAACGCCTCGTAAACACTGGGATCATACTCATTGCCTGCCTCCATCACCTCCCCTGTGCCTTGATAGAACCATCTTACACAAGAAAAAACCCCGACAGGTCTGGAGACTACATCAACATGATAACATGCAGAGTGGGTGAGCTAACGTCGAAGTAGGCTCCAGAGCCTAGGATAACGTCGTCGTTCCTAACTTTCAGCGTCGACCCTCTCGCCTTCGGCGTCGTCGGGGTCAGCCTCATACCGGCCATAGCTCTGGGGATCGGCATTCGGGTCAGGCCCACGCTGACCACCAACTGCGTACATTTGCGGTTGCTGACCGCCCACCTGGTATTGCGTGTAGACGCTGGGGTCGAACATGGGCTGCTGTGCATAGGCGCGGGGGTCGCCTTGCATCGGACCCGGGTACATGGGCGGTTGCTGGTACTCCTGCTGCTGTCCTAGATGCTCCTGCAGGCCATAGTCGGGAGGTGGCATGGAGTGCTGAGCATGTACTGGCTGAGGCATAGCCCCGGGAGGGACCACAGCTGCTGATGACTGGACAGCTGCGTTCTGGCCGGCACTCCTCTTGTGGGGATGAGCCTCCTCGCGGGGCACGATGTCGATGAGAAAGTCGAACATGTCCGACTTTGACAAAGCCGAGGCGATGTCGGAGCGCTGGAGAGTGCGACGCTTGTTCTCCTCGGCGTGGATCCAGGCGCGCATTGTGAGCTCGGTGATGAAGATGTCGCAACCCTTGGCGAAAAGGATGGGAGCTTCGGCTGAGATCATCTTGACCTCTGGGTCGGCCTTCATGACCTTCTTGATACGGGCAAGCGGGAGCTGGTGTAGCTTGTAGTCGTGTTCGTCAGTCTCGAGCTTCGTGACTTGCTGCTGCCAGTATGTATTGAGGATGTCGCGGTAGTTGCCGGTGAGTCCTTGGTTGACCTGTAGGCGTTAGTTTGTGCGATCGTGGCTATGACAGATGCGAGCGCGTACATTCTGCCACGAGCCGGTGAACAGCTGTGGATCGGGCGCGTGGTTCTGTGCGGCAATCTGGACCAAATATCAGCGGCTGGAAGTAGGCATAGGCGCGGATGCGCGAATATAACGTACTGCTGCAGATGCGCCTGCGGTATAGTGTTAGCACAGGATGTCATGGTGAATGCGACAGCCAGCGCCGCGTCGCGTGGCATGCAGCTGGGGCGGGAAGACGTACCATAGTGGCCACCGTTGGTGGGATCATAGAGGGGGTTGCCCTGCTGGCCGTCGTATTTGCGCGGCGCAGCTTGCTGGGGCTGCTGGCGCATCTTCTGCTGGCCGTGGCCCTGGAGGTTGACTTGGTCCATGGCTTGGGCGTGGTTGCGCAAGTGTTACGCGGTGGACAGGGTCTGCGTCAGTCCGCGGCGTGTCTGGATGGCAATACTTGTTCCTCGGTCGCGGGACGGTGCAGAAAGGGACGCGCGACGTCCAATGGCTGCTCGGGGTCTCGCGGTGGGCGTGTTGTGAGAGGAGGGCGAGGTCGTGATTCCGTCGAAGATGCGGTCTGAGTGGTCGGGAGAGGTGGGCGGGGAAGGCGCAGGTACCTGTCTTTAGGCTCCCGCGGCGTTGCTGTGTGCGGCCTGCCATGGTAGATGAGCATTACTCTATTTCTCAATCGCACCAACGCTCGTGAGGTTGTATCAAATGCGCAACTGACCTATGCTCTGGTTCGACGAATCAAATTCCAGTACGAGAATATATTCGCGGAGTTTGATGCTTGGTTGGTGGGTTTCTAACGAGTCAACGAACCACAGCTAAGCAAGGGCCCCAACGTTACTCACGACGCGGACAATTATGTAGAACTGTGGGCGAAGACGGGCTGCAGTATAGGGCGGGTGCAGGATTCGCTCAATGTTCTGACGTCGTATTTCGCATACTAGAGTCTCTTCAGAAGAAGATGCTGCGATCGTCGCTTCGGCCATGCTTATATGCGCGATATGCATGTCGCACCACATCTCTCTACAAGGCCCGACAAGGTGACAGCACAGTAGCGACGCAATGTTCCTGCCGCCTCTATCACAATTCAATCTCCATCCGGCGCAAGACTCGAACCGATCGTGGCCCATGGCAGCACACTTCACATCGAGGCACCACGCTAGAGAGACGAACTTGATCCCGCCCCAACTGGAGTAGCATGCGGGATGTGAGCGCTATTGGTCAGGATGACGCTCTCTCATTGGCCCCGTAGACACCAGGGCTATGCCAGTGATGAGTTGTTCACCGTCCGATTCTCTCGAGCGCGCCAGAATATGCGAGCACGCGTCATAAGACAATATGACAAAGGCGACGGCCCAGGAGTGAAGCTGACTCTGGAGCTTCATCAGCGGGCTTGACGTGGCGGATCCCAACCATCGGGACTGATTTCGAGTACACGAGAGACACGAAGGAAGCCTTGGAGCAGGGCAATCCTAGCGTAGCAGCAGAGGTGGATCACTGTCAATCCAGCTGCCTTGGATTGGAAATGGTATGAGAGACTGCGAACGTAATGTCGCCGCGAGCGCATCGCGACCAGAACGGTTAGCGCTGCCGCACGGGCCGAACTGGCTAGCGCGCCGGAGCTTCTCAAAAAGTTCCTCAAATTTTCCAACACTTTCTTCCCGGACAACGCCAACATGGAGTTGCCAACGCACCAGCCGCTCCTCGCTGAGGACACCGATGAGGAACTCTCGGATGAGCAGATACGGGAGCTGCTTAATGAAGCTGCAGTCCGTATGCGCGCAAAGGCAGCCACAGCGCAGCCCGCGAACAAGTCGGATGCTCCATTCAGGCTACCGAAGCTGCAGCCCGGCCATATTGCCGATACTTACGAAAAGACTGACGGCAACATCACGCGCCTAGATCACTCGAAGCTCGTCGACAAAAAGCAGCAGGCTTTGGCTAACGGCATCAAGAAGATTGAGGATCCGCTTCAAATCAAGAAGCAGAAGCAAGAGGTACGTTCAAGCCACACTATTCGCATCCGCATGCCCGTGATGAAAATTATCCCAAACTTTTAGCTGAGCAGACTCGGGCGCCGTCTTGGTTGCCTTCCTGCACCACTGAGGCTCCATTAGTTCATAGTTACACTGAGGCAATACCACACTCAAGTTTTACTTTTGAAGTTGTCAGTCACGATGCTAACAGCTTTCCACAGGAGAAGAAGGCCACCGCTGGCGCACAGTGGTTCAACATGCCCAAGACCGACCTTACCCCAGAGCTGCGCCGAGATCTCCAGCTACTCAAGATGAGGAACGTCCTTGACCCCCACCGCCACTACAAAAAGGACAACAAGAAGGGCGATGTTCCTGCATTCTCCCAAGTCGGCACTATCATCGAAGGCGCTACTGAGTTCTACAGCAGCCGTTTGAAGAACAAGGAGCGCAAGCAGACCATGCTGGAGGAGATTGTCGCCCAGGAACAGGACAGCGGCCGTTTCAAGCGCAAGTACGAGGATATCCAGACATCGAAGCAGAGCGGCAAGAAGGCGCACTACAAGGCGATGAAGGCGAAGCGAAACAAGGGCAAGGTCGTCAAGCCTTGAGACTTGCTTGGTCGCTTCTGGCCACATGCCAGGACGATTCTACACCGGGACTTTGTTTGTTCTGGACCGTGTGGGTGGTATATTCTATTCTGGACTCAGGCCTCACCCTTGTGAAACTATGCCTGCTTGCGATGCACATCTGAAGGGCACACTGGCGGTTACCATATTGGCCCGCCGTAACCACAGCCTTGATCATTGGCCGTGAAGATCGGACAAGATCTGCTTGACCAGGGCTTGCATGTCCTTGGCTGCCTCCCGCCCGGCCTCCAGTACCTCCTCGTGGTTTGCCTTGCCTTGGCTTAAATGCTCAGTCAGTTCCGCCCTGTTCATGGTCTGGATCTCCGCATCGTTACCGCGGGCGCCTGCCTCGAGGACAGCCACGTTGGTAACTAGACTGAATGCAAGAATACGCATTCCGGCATGTCTGGCAACGATTATCTCCGGTACAGTCGACATACCCACCACATCAGCTCCTAGCGTGCTGAGCATTCGGCATTCTGCACGAGTTTCGTAACTTGAACACGGTCAGCACATGTTTGATGCCATAGCGAAGTAGAGGGAGGAGAAGGACTTGAATGACATACGTTGGTCCTGCCACAAACGCGTATACACCCTCGTGTAGCCGTCGCTCCTGTTTATCCAGTCCTAGTTTTGCCCAGGCCTTGTGCGTCCGCACCCTCAAGTCGAGGTCGTACGCATCTGACAGAGGTGGGAACCGCGTGCCAAACTCCTCGATATTGGGTCCACGCAGAGGATGGATGCCCACCAGCCCAGCCATATTGAGATGCTAAGCAGAGTTAGATTAAGCTCGACGTTTCCAAAAGGGTTGACATACGTCGTTCAAGCATACGATGTCTCCTACGCGGTAAGTCTGGTTGAGACCACCGGCTGCGTTTGTGACTTCATCCACGGTTAGCCAGTTGACTCTGATCATCTGCTCTCTTGACATACCGATCATGGTCTCGACACCAAGCAATTTGCACACTCGAGTAGCGAATGTGACAAGGTCCATCGAGTGCCCTTCATAGAAACTGCATCTATTAATATCATGATTCTTGCGCCAAAGCCTCTCATCTTCGAGTGACTCACTGGGCCCGTCCAACAAGAAGCGCTACAGGCGTCTTCTGAGGACCAATCTGACCGAACACAAACTTTCCAGCATGTCCCACAACTAAACAAAGGTGTCAGTACCCCGCATCCTGTGCAATTCGACAGATCGCATCTGCAGCGAAATGATGCTTCCATATCTGCACTCACCAGTACTCTTGGGAAAGTTTGGAATGGTGCCATAAGCCAGTTCGACTTTCGGTTCCGCCTCGATTGTGTCGGCCAGTCCACCCAGTCCAGAACCGCACACAATGGCTACCTTGGGATACTGCAGAGCCTCTGGCAGCTGTTGGCGCACGTACATGGCCGTTTGCATAGCGCGGGCATAGGCGTTCGGTGCCGCAGCCATATCTGAAACTGTTTCCATTTTGATTGTTAGTTGCTTCTTCAGGAACAGTTGAAGAATGAGGAGTCGTAGAGATTCGGTCTTGTATCAAGAGGAACAGTTTGTCTTGTACATGTGACAAGTTAAGATGGTACGACTAGGGTACAGAAGGAAGGCGCGGCCAATTCCGATACCGCCAAGACCCTAGCTGGAACCGTGATTAGCGCCATCGGCTCTCTGGAAGAAGTTCGATGTTGGACGTGGGCGAGTGCGACGATATCAAACATGGCAGCGCCACGATGTATGCGCTCCTTTCTGGGGCCGGCGAAGAGGGCAAAGGTATTTCTACTCCAATTGAACTGCTTGTGGGAGTCCATCAATTGCTAATGCGCGGTACAGATCACCCACGCCCCCCGACCACACACACAGACTTTCTCGCGGGCGAAAAGCTCACGATCAGAGGAGAGCAATGAGAGGGACTCGAGAGAAGACAAAGATGCCAAGCTTATGGGTCGGTTGAAGCTGGAGCTGGAGAATAGTACCATGCCACTCGACCAGCGGTTAGAGGATCTTGGTATCAGTCGGGAGGAATACAAGACGTACGATATGCCGAATATACAGAAACAAAGGAAGAAGAAGTTGCTGACAACAAATTAGTCTATACGCAAGCCAACAAAAAGTCAACCAGCGTCAAGAAGAATGGGAGCCTAAGACACGCGAAGAGGCAGCGCAGAGGTGGAAAGAACTACAAAACACACCTGACCACTTGGGTCTCCTCAAGGTGTACAAACGCGCTGGTCTGGAACCCATCAAACTGGCAAAGTAAGCCTCCCCTTCGGACTTTCAATCCCAACCCGCAGTCCTCTAACAACAACACCAGGGAACACAACATCACCCTCCCCACCGACCAACCCCCCCTCGACGCCAAAACCGCCGAAGCCCTCGAAGCCCTCCGCACCCCCATCAATGTCCGAGCCGTCCACATGCGCCCCCTGCGCCGCACGCCCGAACACGGCGTGCCCACCTGCGACCTCCAACTGCGCACATACAACATCCGCAATCTCCTCCTCTTCGCCGACTTCGCCGTCCGCGCAGCCTACTACATGGGTCTCTGCGCGCGAGGCCCCATCCCCCTCCCCCGCATAACCGAACGCTGGACAGTCCCACGCTCCAACTTCATTTTCAAGAAATCCCAAGAAAACTTCGAGCGCATCACCATGCGGCGGTTGATCCAGATCCAAGACGGACACCCGGATGTGGTGAAGGCGTGGTTGGCGTTCTTGCAGAAACATCAGTATCATGGTGTGGGTATGAAGGCGAATATCTGGGAGTATGAGAGTTTGGAGGATGCGACGAGGGCTGGGTATGAGATGAAGGAGGGTGATTATAGTAGGAGGAGGGAGGGCAAGGTTATGGATAAGGTGGCGGAGATTCTGCAGAGGGATGGGTTTAAGGAGGCGATGAAGGGGCATGAGGGGAAGGTTGAGATGAGGCCGTAAGAAGCAGGGTACGTTGGACGATGGAAGGCAGCGGCAGCATTGCGTGGAAGAGTCATGGATTCCGAAGGCTATGTATAAATATGTGTATAGAAACATATCCTGCGTAAGAAAGCATTTACGTCGTTTCTCTACACCGTACATGCTGATAAAATTGAATGACCGTCCTGCAACAGATTCATTGCAGGACGGTCATTCAATTTTATCAGCATGTACGGTGTAGAGAAACGACTATGCACGCTAAACTATACTATCCAACTACCATCTCACCACCCATCCTTCTCTTCGCCAGCATACCTCTCATCCGCAAGCAACAACTCCAACATCGCATCCAACAACGCCTGGTTCATACCCCTCCCCTGCAGCGCCCTCACTTTATTCAACACTGGCTCCCCATTGTTGACGCAGTTCCAGTAATCCCACTTCTTATCCAATTCGATCCATGCTTTATCGATGATATCCCACAGCTTGGGGTTCGGGTCGATAACATCGAGTTGCGGCCCCGAAGAGGAAGAACCCGCAGAATGAGAAGATGAAGAGAGCAATTCGATGTGGATGGTATGCGAAGTTGGCACCGCATCGAGCGTGATGAGCGTACCGTTGCTTTCCTGGGTGATCTTGTGTGAGAGCGTCTTTGCATGTTTCTTTGTGCTGGGAGAGGTAGTGACGCATCGGATCTCAGCGCCCTTCTTGAGTGTGTGAGCAAGTAGGCGGATCTTCCAAGACCGGTTCTTGGGAATGGCGGGGTTTTCAGGCGTTGTAGGACCAATCTTGATGACGCCGGTCGATTGTTTGTACGTGATAGGTGTGTGTGCGAAGCGCACGGTGTCGTCGGCGGATTCCTCGTGGCCCTCGTCCGAGATGATTGAGAAACCGCCATCGTCGACGAGGTGACCGGTGCCATCGTCTTCGATCAGTGTGAAGGAGCCGTCTGCGCCTACGGCAAGCAAGATCTCGAGACCCTCTGGGTTTGGAGAACCGGATTTGGGACGGTAGGCTGCGTCGAGCGGGATTATGGATCCTTCTTTTGCGAAGACGGGGACGAAGTTTAGAGGGCGGTGGACGGTGAGCTCGCCGGCGCGGTTGTATACGATGCCGGTGAAGATGTCGACGTAGCGGCCTTCTGGGAGCCAGAGCTTCTCTGCGCCGAGGTGTGTAGTCCCGTCGCGAGGCTGGGTGATAGGTGCCACGATTATTTCTGAGCCAAAGCGGAACTGGTTGGGCACATTGTACGCTTCATCAGACTCTGGGTAGTCCCAGTACATGGGCTGAACGAGCGGCTCGTCGTCGGAGGCACTTCTCGCGTTCATGGTGTACAAGTATGGGATGAGACGGTGGCGGAAACGCAATGTATCTTCGACGATCGTGCATGCCTCTTCGTTGAACCGCCAGGGCTCGCGCGTGTTGAAAGGGTTGTTGTCTGAATGAAGACGCAGAATTGGCGACCAGCAGCCAAGTTGTACCCAACGTGTGTAGAGCTCGTCGTTCTTGTAGCCATGCGTGTGACCACCAATGTCGTTGCTCCACCAGCCGTACCCGATGTTCGATGCGGTAGCTGTGAACTCAGGCTGGAAGTGCAGGCTGTCCCAGGTGATGATAGCATCGCCAGAAAAGCCGATCTGGTAGCGCTGTGCTCCAGGACCACCGAATCGAGAGAGAATCAAGGGACGCTGGGACCCACGGCCATTGTCGAGGAAGTGGAAGTGGTTGAGCACCCAGAGCGGGTCTACCCCAGGGATCTTGGATGTGTTGCCCTGCTGCCAGTCCACCCACCAGAAGTCTACGCCTCGCTCTTCGTGCTCGTGGTGTACAATGTCGAAGTATGCGTCCATAAACTTCTTATCCGTGCAGTCGAAAGGAATCGTCTGTTTAGACTGCGGGTCGATACCAAGGTATTTGGCGACTTCAGGGTACTGCTCTTCGTGAGGCCTGAATCCGTCCGCTGGATGCAGGTTAAGCGTCAGCCTCATGCCACGATCATGCAGCTTCTTCATGAAAGCGTCTGGGTCAGGGAACAGTTTCTTATTCCATGTGTATCCGGTCCAGCCATTGACACCGCCAGGCAGATCCCATACCAGATGCCAGTCCATATCCACAACCGCCACGTTCATGGGTACATCGTCGCGGTCGAAATGATCGTGCAAATCGAGATATTCCTTCTCGTCGTATGCGTGGTATCGACTCCACCAGTTGCCCATGGCGTATCGTGGAAGGAGGGGCTGGCTTCCTGAGACAGCGTAGTATGCACGCATGGCTTCCCGGTAGTCGCGACCATACATGAAGATGTACTGATCGGTCCTGTCGCCACCCCTGCGTCCAGCAATCCACCCACTGTCTTCGAAGAGCATGGACTTGGTGTCATCCAAAGGAGCCATGCCCTCTCTCGACAGCACACCAGGGCCTAGGTTGGCCCTGCCGTTCACACCGTCTAGTGTACGGGTTGTTCCGCCCAAGTTGGAGACTTGTTGTCCGTATGTCCATGTGCCTGTCACGTCGCCCTTGAGGTGGATCTTGAAGCCATCGGCGCTAAACTTCTTCTTGTCGTACACAACGTGGAAGCGCTTCGTTACGATCTCGATGCCGTGGCCGCGGTCCCAGACATAGAAGTCAGGCACAGCTAGCTTGCGGTTGATGGCAAAGGTGCTCGCGCGGTCTTCGAATCGTCCATCCTCGGCCCACTCAAAGCGGAGCAAGCCATCTGTGAGGATGGTGAAGCGGTACTTGTCGCCTGCGACAATAGCGTCCGGGTGCGCGACCGGGCGCGTCTTGAAGTCGTAGCGAGCTTTCGTCATGGCTTGAGTAACTGAACAAGACGAGATCAGGTAATTCCTCGCGTGTAGGCCCTCGAGGGATGTCGTGGCATTGCCCGGCGCGGTCAGACACGGACGGCGTCATTCATCTTAAGCACGTCCGGGGAAAGGAAGCTCGGACGGTGTGCCTGACTAGCATCATGATCGATGCGCGTGACCTCGGTTGAGAGGGAGCGCGGCCTGTCAAACTCAAACCACATGCGAGGTAAGTCAGGCGACAGCTTCAAATCGGCCCTGCTGCCTCTAGACAGCATACCAAGGTCATGGCGAACGACTGGGGAAGAAGAAATCAATAGATGGTGTTGCAAGATCGAGGGCAGGAGTGGACACGCGACGGCGTCATTTGAGCTCAGAAGGACAAAGAGTCCCTGCAGGATTGCTGCAAGTAACCACAACGTAGCTGCAACAACATCGCACCGCATACGAGCATGCATGTCTTGAATACGAGCTTGTCGGATGACTTCCGCTCAACCCCAAGAACGCTGCATTACACTCTATCGTAACCTGGGGGTTCTCTCAGCGTCGCATTATTCTATTGATGCCATACAATCAGATGTACTACATTCATCCCTCCAAACGTCCTGTGCGTATGTTCACGTAAGACTGACGTTCCCAGCAAGATTTCGATATCCCAGCGTACCGGCTATGCTCCCTGTTATTTCTTGATTGCAACCACGAGGAAGGCTTCCTAGATCCTCTCGAATTCCTATTCATATTCGAACAAGAGATCTCGATGACGTCCAGCCTTGGCCAAACACATACTTCTGTGCTCTTCATGCCTCTGGCACACTTGTCGTCTCTTCCCAATCCCTCCTCAATCGCTCAGCATCTGGCTCATCTGCGAGATTCAGATGCACCCTCTTGTCCATCGACAAAGAACGCCCAAGACCTTTCGATGCACACCAATTGGCATAATTTATTCCGGTTGCTAGCTCCTTGCGTAGCAGAGTGATTTCCAAGTGGTATCGCCTTGCGAGCTTGTTGCTGATGTATAACAAGCATATGAATTGTGTGAGACTTGGCGCGTCCTTGTCGGTCACCATTATCTCAACATGGCGGCAGCTGCTCGCTAGGTGACGGGTTTTAACACAGCGGTCGATGAAAGCTTCAGCCGCCTCGCTTAGTGGTGGTGAGCCATCGGGACGAGGATTGTATCGGAAGCAGCGCGAGAGCGAACGACGCAAGACGGACAGAGGTTTACTGGGGTTCACTGTGATACAGAAGCGCATTGGTTGCGCCTTCAGTTGCAGCATTCTGGGCCGGAAGATTGTCATGGCTTCGGTATTGATCAACTTGGATGTCGCCAGTATTTGGACGGGCAACCTTTTGCAGACGAGTGTGATTGTGGAAGATGGGTCCGGCATGTCGTCGAGTGTGTAATGCCTCGTTGTCGTTTCGAGCTGCTCGTAGACCATACATCGCAACTCTGGTGGAAGGTCCAGGAATCGGAAAGAGGGTTCGGACATTTCGGTGGATGTAGTTGTAAGTAGCAGAGGGAGGGACATTGAGGCGTAAGATGGTAAAAGCTAAAGATTAAATCTTATATGTGCTGAATTAAGTATTTATTGTCGACCTTGGCTTTATTAATCTCTCTACCATGGTTTGCAGGAGAACTCCGAATATGGGGACGGGTATTGGCTGAGGTAACATCCAGATGGACTTACCATCACGTTTACTTTCATTCGTTGACACGAGATATCCAGGCCATGAGCTCCACTCACTGGGAAGGATCAACTCTCATTTTAGGTTACTGTCGCAGGGACACCTTGAAGCACGTGGAGCTTGACAAAATTCGGCACGACTGACAGAGACAAGAACGAACAGACGAAGAGAAGATGGTCATACAAGAGGTGACCCAAAGGAACACTACTTACGCACTCGAACGCCTCTTTACGATTTCGACTCTCTTCACTTACGACCAGGCTAATTTCAACCACCGTGCAAACTCTCCGAGTACACACACTAAGAGATGTACATACGTGCGAAGGTAGTGACCTGATATGTTCGGCACAGTAAGACGTTGAAAAGAGCACACAGTCAACAGCCGTAGCATTTGTATTGTAAAAGCTTACTAGAAAATGATTAATTGCAAATGTCGCCCTTGCGCCCTTTGCAAACCATGGTACTACAGAACTAGCTTACGACTCATCACCAAGCACCTGATGAGAGCCAAACACCCCACGATCAACTTTCCCAAAGAAAACTTCCTTTTCATCTTGCCATAGTCGCTCTTCTTACAGACACCCACAACTCAAATTCACATTCATACTAGGTACACAATGGGAAAGCGCAAACCCCACCCCACCGGCCGTCCGCCAAAGAAACCCGCACCCACCGAAGAAGACGAAGAGAAAGGAACAATATTCTTCTATATGCCAAACGAAAAGCCCTACGGTATATTCTGCCAATGGCACCCAAGCCCCTTCAGCATCCCCGTTACATCACTGCAGTGGCTTGTCGACCTCGCTCCACCACCACCCCCTTCTACCACGTCCACCACATCCACAACGACCATCTCAGCACCACCTATCTCAGCATCCTCCATCCTCTCAACCCACGCCACCACCACCCCCTCCAACCCAACCCCTTTCCTCCCCTTCACCTGCGCCGAGCAATCCTACATGTACTGCAAATCCCTCTTCTTCTCCGACTCCTCCACCTGCACCTCCATCCTCTCGACCCCAAACCCAAAAGCCCAAAAGAAACACGGTCAGCGCATCGCCAACTTCTCCTTCACCGCCTGGACGCTAGTAAAAAGCCGGGTTGCGCGCGTGGGGAATTGGTATAAATTCACGGGCGGGAATGAATATGCTGGGAAGGGGGCGGGAAATGGGAATAGGCATATGAGGAGTGTGTTGTTGGGGACGGGGGAGAGGGAACTTGCGGAGGCGGGGAGGAGGGATAGGGTGTGGGGGATTGGGTATAGGGCGTTTGAGGCGGAGGGGTATAGGGAGTGGTGGGGGGAGAATCTGCTAGGGAGGTGTTTGGGGGATGTTAGGGGGAGGATTGGGGAGATGGATAGGAGGGGGAGGGAGGAGGGGGTGGGGGTGGATTGGGATTGGGATGGTGGGTTGGATGGGGGTGGGGATGGGGATGGTGGGGGTGGAGGTGAAGTTGAGGGAGGAGAAGCTGAGGGAGAGGAAGCTGATACTGGTGCTGTCATTCAAGAAGTAGAGCCGACCTAAAGTTCATCCATCTCACCACCCCTCCCCCTCCCCTCTCTCTCCAAATCCTCAACGAGCAGCTTCGCTACGATCCCATGTCCCCCCGGTCTCAAATGAAAAACTCTCTTATAACTATCCGGCAACAACCAATGAATCCCATCGCCCAGCCAGCCTTCTCCCTCTACCCCCTTCCCATTCCCTCCTTTCCTCTTCCCTTTAGCCAAAAACCCCTTCTTAGGATCAACCTCCCACCCCGGATGTTCCCCCACCGTCCTCCCAACATCCCTCGCAATCCCACTCTCAAAACTCCCCCTCGGCACACCACCACCCGTCCTATTCTGCAACGCAGTCCTATTCTCCCCCGTATCCACAGTGTTCCACTCGTAGAAGACGAGGCCAGCGCGATTAGGTTCTGGTTCTAAGACACGGGGTTCACAGTATCGACCCTTTGCCCTGGTCACCTCCGCGTCGTAATCCACAAACCGGACGTTTGGTCCAGCGTCTCTAACGGCTTTGAGCAAGATGGTGTTGACGGCGCGCACCATGTCGTTTAGCTCCTGGCGTAGGGCGCGCGTGAGGTATTGTTTTGTCCATTCGACGTCTTTCCAGACGGCCCAGGTGATGTTGTCGCATGTTTTATCCTCGTCACTGAAGAAGGAGGCGTAGCCTGTGTAGTAAATCACGCCGTGTTGTTGGTTCATCTTTGGTTTTGCGGCGGAGAGGAGGAGGGTGATGTTGTGGTAGAGTTCTGTTTCATTTGCTATCCTTGCTCGTGCTTCATTGATAGCTGTCTGGCAGGCGTCTTCGCCTGATAGATAGAATTGGTAGATGCAGTTGCTTAGTATGGGTGTTAGGCCGATGTCGTTGCCGCCGGCGGAGATGGTGAGCAGGTCGAGGTTATCTTGTAAAGCTGGGATCTGGGTTTCCAGGATCTCCGTGCTGGTAGATCCGGAGCAGGCGAGGAACTGATGGGTGCGGTTTGGGTTGGGGCCGAAAAGGGTGGTTTGTAGGATGTTTGGGTAGGAGGAAGTGTAGCGGGAGCATGACCAGTCGAGACGTGTGCCGGAACCTAGGCCCGCGGCGTAGGAGTCGCCGATTGAGGCGAAGCGTTGGATCCACGGGAACTTGACAGCGGGGTCAAGGACAGGGGACTGGAGTGCGTTGTTGGAGGGATTAGAGAAGATGGTGGCTGTGAGCCAGTTGGTGAGCGTTGGAAGGAACATGGTGCCAGCACTGTGAATGTAAAGTGGATTCAAGTAAGATTGATAGTACCCCCAAGAGCATCATCAACCGGCAAGTTGTGCTCTTGTGAAACAGCAAACATGTCAAGATAACATTCGCATCTTCGCTGCCTGCCGCGCTGTTGGGGCACTGTAGTCACGCGTCGTAAGCCGAGCTCTTCATGCGCGAATCGAGAGCCCACGAGGTCATGATTGGACAACGAGTGGCTGGAATGGAAGTCTGTCTGAACACCATCAACTTCGTGCATTTAGTAACTTTGGGATGCAAGGCTAGACGCATCCGCTACAACGGCAAGACGTTCGACATACATGCCACAAAAGTTTGAGGTAGCACCCGTACCCGTCCGCTGCTACCTCTTGCGACCCGCTCACCAGACAACACCTCACGAGTTGAATATCCTCGAATACAACTTCTCATGTCTCCCAACCCAAAGATCCATAACGGGGACACTCTGCCCCGCATCCTCCACCGCCCTATCCCACCCCTCGTCCACCAGCCCCCGAATCCTATCCTGCAGCTCCGCGCTCGCAAGAACCGCCTGCGCCTGATAAGGCCCCATAACGCTCGCTCTCACAGCCGCACTAACCACAGTGCGCGCATGTGAAAAGAGGAACAAGTACGCAGCCTGTTGCAGCGGAACAGCCAGGATACTGGTAACGAGACCCCACAGCGGCGCGAGATGCACGTTAATATGCTCTGAAGTGCGGAGTGCAGCGGAGAAGGTCGTGAGCGCTTTAGTCGCGACTTCACTGCCCATCCCCGCGTTCTCAGCATCTTGAGACCCCCTCGCCTTAGACCCGTTATACTGCGTCCTAAAACTGCGATCCCAAACCGCCAGCAACGCGCGACCCTGTGCTATACTCGCCCGTCGCGCAACGGTACACGGTGTACTCGCGTCGAAGTCATTGTCCAGTGTCTCGATGGCTTGCGGCGTGCGGTACCCGGCTAGCACGTAGGGCAGCGATGTGCTTGCGAGGGTTGAGAGGGATAGGCGGAGGAAGGTGTGGAACGCGGGTAACTGGGATGCCGACGGCGGCGAGGGCTTGTGGTGCGCGAGATAGGATTCTAGACCGGAGCTGAAGGCGAAGGAACCTAGGGGGAGTGCGGAGTCGGCGAGGAGGAGGAGCGCGTGGAGGGCTGGGGGTTGTTATGTTAGGTTGGGAGTTGGGTGGGTGGAGGGTGGGTGATAACGGACCTGCGTCGTTTGCGGGGGTTGAAGGTGTCGCTGCGACGGTGTCTGGGTTCAATCTGGCTTTCGCATCGTGTAGCCGTCTTTCGAGATCGGCTATCTCGTCTTGGACGGCTTGTTGCTCCGACGGTGGTTGTGTCATCGTGTGCGTGGGAACGATGATGCGGCTAGAGTAGGGTACAACATGCGCCTCGGCGACTATGCCCAAGATAGACGGGGTATCCATTCGGGCGCATGCAGCTTTACACATGCATAGAACCTAGTCTGAAGATAGTAATGCATGATAACGTTGTTCCATTTCATCTCGTCTCATCAATATATGTAGTCATGAGCCTCGTAGTCATTCATCCGTAACCAAAACTCCAGAACCAGCCCCTTATCCCAAGGCATCCAAGCCGCAACAGGGTATACACATGACAATTGCGCCCAAGAAGAAAACTGATGCTGTACACGCTAAACAAGAATGGCTGTGAGCCCATGTCTACGCGTCTTCCTCCTTCGCGTCCTTCTTGGGGATATCGGCGAACATGAGTGTGCCGCTGCCCTTGTTCGACTCGAAGTTCTTCGCGCTCGTCTTCTTAAACAGCGTCTGCGGCTTCGATCTATACGTGCGTTAGTCTACATTTCATTGCTGGTACGCAGTTGCAAAGCGGCTTACTTCTTCATGGCGTGCTTGGTCTTGAAAGCCTGCAACTTCTGTGTAGCGGGGCTCATGATGTCGTCAGACGGCGAGACAAACTTCTGCTCTCTGGAGTATCATTAGTGATGCGCAATGGGATATGAACATGTATGAACTCACTGTGGGTTGTCTAGGCGCGACTGCAGAACTTGACGGTGGTAGTCGAGGCTCTTGGAGTCCTTCTTCTCGGCGTCCTTCTCTGGGGAAGACGTGGGCTTGACTTGCGCGTTGGTGTCGCGAGGGCTAAGGACGTTGGTGGCCATTGCGGTAGGGTAGTTGCGGTTGATGCAAAGGCGGAAGACTTGATCAAAAGTTTTCAGATGTGGACGTTTGCAAGGTCGTGTAGCAAGTTGCAGATACTGTAGTTTGTGCTGAAGAGGTGCTGTCTGAAAGGATCTTGTTGCGGATTGCGGTCGTGGTTATAGTAGTCTTGTTCAAGGGTGTTTATGGTAGCCTGTCGCGTGGGGCAACGGCGAGGAACGTCATACCCTGCGACCCTCAGCCTTACATCCCGACGTTCACGGGCCGTGCACTTAGACATCCCTGATCCGGCAGTCTGTTTGAAATGATAGCTCTCACATGATTGGCTCGCAACGAACGCTTTGCCTAGTGCACCGAGCAAAGGTACCAGCCCAGTGTGAGTCAAAGGCTATAGAATCACACCATATAACACAGATTGGACATGGTATCTTTGTTTGCATTCTTTCTCTGGGCCATCCCAGGCCTGAGCTCCGCAGAGCCAACGGAATTTATCTAAACCCATCCGCGGAAACATTGCCGACCGAGAGACGAACTCCGTGCATCTAGTAAAACATGCTAACACATGTCGTCTGAACATGCATCGCAACTATCATCGTACATTGTCTCGCCCTCTTGCGCTGCCGAACACCAACGCCATGAATTTGGCAGAAAGCCACCCGCAAAACACCAACGTCCCAGGCACTGCTTCGTGCATGGCCTCAAAATTCGCCTTCAACGCTATTGTAAACTGGTAAGAAAGGGTACTGAAGGAAATGCAGCTGGTGATGTACATGTGGCAAAATGCAGGGAATAAGAAAAGGGTATCCGGTTTGCAGAGCTCTCACAAATGGACGCGCATGGTATCGTTGCTGCCAAAGGCCTTGCCGCAATTCGGGCACTTCCTCGCGCGGTTGGTGAGTCGGTCTTGCACGCACTGGTCGCAGAACATGTGCCCACAAGTCTTGATGACCGTGTTCTTGAGCTTGCTCTTGCAGATCTGACACTGAATCAACAGCTCCATCGTCGACACTTCAGAGCTCTGGTTGGCCGTGCTCTTCTTCTTGTAGATTTGCACTTGCTTCTCCAGTCCAGTCACTTGTGCAGCAAGCTTGTCTCGCTCGGTTTCCGATTCGCGTTGGGCGTGCTTTGCCGCGAGACATGTCGCGTCCTTGGCCTCGACGACCTTCTTGAGCTCCGCTATCTGGCTGACATGACCCTCGGAAGTGATGGCATTCTCGCTGACCTTTTGTTGCAGCTGGCGGTGCTGGGTAGAAAGATCATCCATCTGCGATCGCATTTCCGCACATTGCTTCTCCAGCTTGTCGACCAGTGACCGGCTCAAGGAATCCGCCTCTTTCAACTGCGCCACTACCTCCGTGGCTTTAGTAGCCTGGGCACGGAGGATGCGGATTTGTTGCTCGAGTTCTCCTTTGGTCTTCATGGCTGCGAAAAACTTTTGATCCGCTTTGGCCTTGTCCGCATGTGCCTTGGCAATGTTCTCTTCCCACGCAGCAATCTCGGTGATCTTCTTGCTCGCGATCGCCTGCGCCTTTTTCCATGCCGACTCCATGGACGGGAGTTCGTTGCCCAGAATCTTGCATTGGCTCTCAAGCTTGGAGATCTTGCTGCGCAGCTGCTCCGGTGTCAAGTCGTCTGAGCCAGACATTACTTGGTCTCCTGAACTCTGCTGCTCCGCAATCTGGAGTCGCAGTCGCTCGCATTCCGATTCGAGTGCAGCAATGCGGCTGTCGCATGCGCTCGCAAGCAGTTTCGCCTGCTCGATAGAATCCTTGGAATCCTTGTGGCTAGCTTCCAAGAGGTTATTCTTGGTGGCTAGTTCGTCACGGGCGTTTCGAATGCGAGCACAGTTCGCTTCCGCTTGCGAAACGTGGCTTGCACTGTCTGCCAAACTAGCGCGCACCTCATCGTCCACTTTGATCCTGTAGGCTGTTCGCTCCGCTTGGAACTTTTGCGCTTCTTCCCGTAAGGAGATGTTGGTGGCTTCGAGATTGTTGATTCGCTTGATCACGTCTTCATGCTGGTTCTTGATAGCTTTGAAGAGATCGGTCTTTGCATAATCATCATCCGACAGCCCGGTAAGCTTGACCTTCAATGCTGAGACTTCCTCAGTGAGCTTCTTGTTTTCCTGCTCGATCTGCTCAAGTTGCTCTTTCCTTTTGGCTGCCTCGGCTATGGCCTGGTTTTTTGCAGTTTCCAACTCTTCACTGATCGGTCCGGGTGACGTGCCATTGACGGCTTCTGTTCCATTGCTGGTAGATGGAGCCTCCTCCTTCGCAGGCGCGCTTGTGCCGTGCGCCTGCTGCTCGAGTTTCTGAACTTGGGCACTCTTCAAGCGATCGAGCTTCTTCTCAGCGACCAGGTAGCGATGAGTAGCCGTGTCCAACCGGTCAGATAGTTGCTCTTTCTCGGTGGTGACGCGTTGCAATCGCACAACGTGATCTTTCTCCGTGACCAAGAGCTCTGACAGCTTCTGTTGGAGTTTCGCAACCTCGGGACTGCTTGCAGGATATCTCGCAAAGAGGTCGGAAAGGGATGCAAGGATCTTCTCTTTGCGGTCCGAGAGGTGTTTCTTGAACGTCTGGGTGTCCTCGCACAGAAGCGCAGCGGGTACAGACTGCGAGGCATCGGAATCGCCTGATGATGCAGGTAGTTTCTCGGCGCCCAGGAGTTTGATTTCATCGATAAGCTAAGCAGCAATTAGCATCACCTCAATCAACTTCCAGGGGTATACTGACCTGATCAAACCAAGCGTCGATTGTGCGGAGGTGGTCGTCGTGGTACTTGGAGCGGCCCTCCAGCTCGTTCAGTTGTGACTCGACGGTAGCCTTCTCGCGCTTGAACTCGCGCATCTG